CTTGAAGCGGAGCTCCTGGTCGACACGGGTTGCGACCTGGACTTGAATATCTCAGAGTACAAGGCCGCGCAGTTGGGTCTGCCCTACACCAAGCGCTCTGCAAGGCTGGAAATGGGCCAAGGAAACACTGGGGGCATCAAGTGCAGGTGGGCATAGCTGCTGCGTCCATGGCTAATGACCGGATCAACCAACCATAAGCATCACAGTGTCATGCATGCTGTTTTCTTCCCATAAGGGTGTGGCTCTTCGCAGGCGCTGTGATGTCTCTATGTTCTTGGCCGTACTTTATGGCGGTTTTCTCGATTCCGATCCTTTTCTTGCCGGTGTGGCAGGGGCCCAGTGCTGACAACACTGCTGCTGGAGGGGGAGACGGCGACTGCATATGTGAAGGACCCAAAGAGGTTGTCCTACTTAACAGTATGGACTGATGACGATACAGCAGGACGCAGCAGCAGTGGCTGCAGCGCCTCAGGCAGTGGCAGTGGCAGCAGCAGGAGCACCAGCAGTAGCAGTGGGGGCAGCAGCACGGGTGGTGTGGCGCAGGAACTGTCCCCCTCAGCAGGTAAGGGCAAACAACGCTGTGGCAGCTGGGGTTGTGAAGGGCTTTGTCCAACCTTCCATTGAAGCCAAGGAGCGTGTTTGGGTTGCAGAGCAGCAGGGTTGGGGCAGGAGTGGGAGATGGACATAAGAGAGGTTGTGGATGGGGAGGGGGGGGGCTGGACAGATCATGCATGGTGGGCTGCAGGGAGGATGAGGTCCCCATTTGCAGGAGATCAGCGGGCCGGGGCTGTAAATGCTGGCTATGGAACCTGGGTGCATTGGTATGCAGGCTGTCAACTAGTGGTACGGAGGTCTGAGGGAATTGCTGACCAAAGGCCACAAGCCAATGCCGCCCCGCACCATCTGGCATGCAGACATGTGTCCACCAGAGGCTACCGCTTGGACCTGCACCACCTGCACCCTTTGTCACTGCTCATGCCCGATGCTTCTGACCGTCCACTCTACCCTGGTCCCCTCTCTTGTTGCTGGGCCCCCCCCCCCCAGGCAGCACCAAGCAGTCCCCATCCTTAGCTGGTGAGGACAGCAGCAACACTGATGCTAAGACATTGAAGATCCACATCCTGTCACCGATCAAGCGGGGCAAGGACACGCACGACTTTGATGCCATCTTGGGTGCCCCGGGTATGGCGCGGCTGCATGTGGGCATTGACAGTGGAACCATGCGGTTGTACAGAAAGAAGGTGTCCCCAGCCTTTCGCAAGAAGGTCGCATCTACTTGCGATGCTGGCTGACAAGGCTGTGAGAGGTTGTGTGGCACGTAGGACGCACACCAGGTGGTGCAAGAGGCCTCTCTGAGGCCTCGTTGGCCTCATGTCTTTGTCTGCATTGCTGCTTCCCTTCTCGCGCGCGCTCTCAGTTCACGGTGTGACAGGCTGTCATTGGGCCCTGCAGCCATGCCATGCTGGGGCCGTGGGGTGTGGGCTCTGCTTGTTTGCTTGTTGTGCTCTCTGCGTTCCTTTGCCTTCCTGGCCTGTATGGCGCCTTCCTGGCCTGTATGGCGGCCGCACCATAAATGTAATCATCCAAGCTGCTTTACGTCTGGCTTGCAGTGTGGGCAACTGGTTTGAGATCGGCTCCGGTGTGAAGCAGGGCTGTGCCATTGCACCTTTGCTACTCAACGTGTTCTTCGATTGTATGGTGCGCCAGGCCATTGCGGCGTTGCCGGCTGGGTGCGGTGTGCAACTGGCCTACACTTCCAACGAAGTGTTCGAAAAGCCACCCGCCAGCGGCGCTGCCGTGAGCATGCAAATGCTGTCTGTTTTGCTGTATGCTGATGACATGGTCCTGATAAGCTGCGTCAGGGCTGAGCTTGAGTGTATGCTCAGGGTGGTAGATGACATATGCAGCAAAATGGGCATGTGTATCAACACAAGCAAAATATAGCTCATCATGGCTCTGGAGCACCCTTGCGATGGCACTTGCGCATTGTCGGATGCACTGGTAGCAAAAGGGGCGTGTTACCCCAGTACAAAAGGTGGTGTTACCACCGCCGCGGTAACGGCGTAACACGCAGCCGTAGTAAACGCGCTGTAACAGGGTAACTTGAATCGTCACGTTGATGTTACCAGTGCTGTCATTGTAACACACGGACTGTCAGTCGACACGTTACCAACTCATGGTGAAAGAATGATACGCAGCGCATGCAGCACCGCCGCAGGCGAACAGCACTCAGCCTGGTGTGGAACCCTCGAGCGCGCCGGCCTGCTCGCAGTCCTGATTCGTTGCGCACGAATTGTCGCAAGTTTGAATGCACATGCAATAATCATGTGTGTGCCGCCACCATGTCTTCCTTCAATTGCAAGAAAGATTGGCTCACATAGGATTATTACAAGATCCCGCGGTCGCCCGCTCCTGGAGCCATCCAGGCTCATGGGATATGCCTTGGTAGCATCAGCATCGTGTGACAGGGATTCAAGGGGCCACTTTTCGCCGTTCAAAGCAAGAAGTACGTTACATGAGACGCACCAATGTGATTGATTGAATTAAACGTCACATAAGACGCACCAATGTGATTAATAGATACAGCCGAAGACGTCAGTGGGCAGCAAACACATCAGTACGTGTTGAACACGGCTGCGCCCAAGGACGGTGAATGCGCCAGCAATCACACACTTGAACACAGGGGGGGCCTCATCAGCTTGATGCCTGCTGTCCCCCAAACATGCCATGCAACTCATCGCATGTTGGTGCTGTGCATGCGGCATGCCGCCCACAACAGTTGCTGCACGCACGCCCTGCTGCCCACTTCATAAAAGCGTGTGCACCTTGACTTGATGGCAAACAGGTGCGCGCTCTGCCCGCCAGCGTTGAGTGGTGGCAGGCCTGTGCTAGTTGGATAGGGCAAGGATTAGGATCAGGATTGGGATTGTTACAGCGTCCCGCGGTCGCCCGCTCCTGAAGCCATCCAGGCTCATGGGATTGTACAGTGAAGCACCAATGTTGTGTGACGAGGGTTCAGGTGGCTGCCGTGCGCCGTTCAAAGCAGGCGTGCACGGAGGCCCCCAATGTGTGCTGATCCGCGCTGCACGCAAAGGCGCGCATGCGCGCAGGCGCGGGTAGATTCGCAAACAAGGGCGCACAGCGCGGCTCGGCCCGCAGGTCCGCGTATGCGGGGCAGTCAAGCACAGCATATTCAGCCGTTTCGTCACAGCTCAGGCCGTCGCAGTGGGGGCAACGGGTGGGCAAGCACGAGCACGTGATCGCTGCTGGTGGCACACGTGACAAGTCGCACCATGCACCGCGCACAAGGACACGCATCTGCAAAGCAAGCTGCTGCCCGACCTCCCAACCTGCTGCACATGACTATGTTGTTGCGTGCCGCCGCGCGACATAGAGAGGGCGCACGGCAGTTGAGCCGTTGGTGCTGCTGCGTGCTGATGAGCGTGTTGTGCTGCATGTCGCTGCTGCATTGCTCAATGCGCTCTCCGTGGCACTCACCTGTACCATTCCAAGCACTGTCGTGGCCTGCAGTCTCTTTAAGTAGCCTGCAAGCATTTGTTGTTGGCTTGTGTGAGTGGGCAAGCAAGCACGAATAGTTGACCGACAATCAAGTTTGAGTAGATAAGCAGCACACTGAAACATGCGCCCCTGCAAAGCAGCCCACTGCAGAATGTCGTGTCCGCTTGCGTGTGATGCCATAGCTGTGCTTTGCAACGGCTTAAATCAACCACAAGCTGTGAGCGGTTGGCTTTGCCGCTCTCAGCTGCCGCTCTGCGCACAGCCCCCATCAATTCCGCTGCTGAGAGCGTGCGCATACACGCGATGCGTGTCGTGCAACCCACCAGTTTTTTGCGTGATGTTTACGGCGGCCTGCAGCTTCTAACAAGCCTCTCATCTTGGGTTTGTCTGAGTGGGGGGGGGTGTTGTTCCATGGTGATATTCGGTCGCAGCAAAGGCTTGCAAGTGTGAGCATGCACCGTGTCCGCGCAGTGGCTACGTTGCAGCCGCCCGCCATTCCCATGTCTTGCATTTGCCGCCGACGTGTGTCACGATAACTCTCAAAACACATATGCCGTTGCGTTGGCTGCTGTTGCGGTGGCTCTGGCGCGCGCAGGCGTGCCGCCGCTCTCACGCAGCCCTCGGCAATGCTGCTGCTCACACAGGCGCGCGCACGGGCAGTGCCACCCACCTTCACTGGCATGGTGTCTAGGGGGGCCTGCAGCTCCAAAGTGTGCCCAACATCTGAGCTTTGGCCTGTGTGAGAGGGGCGGGCAATGGCGTGGGAGGTCAGTGGCGGTGGCGGCGGAGGGCTCTACATGTGAGGGTGCACCCTGCCGGCACACGGCGGGGTGGGTCGCGGCCGCCCACCAATCCTGTGCCCCTCTGCGCATGTGGCTGCAGCTGTGCATCTCTACGGCTCGCAATATTCACCCGCTGCAGTTGAGAGGTTGACGCTCACAGCCGCTCACACCTGTGCTGCTGATGTGCACTCTTCACAAGACCTTGAAAATCCTGCTGCAGGCAGTCACGCGCGCCGCGCGCCGCCGCCGCTCACCTTGGCTCAAGTGGTGCATCTCGTCGGCTCACAGCCCCATGAAACTATGCCACTTTCAGTTCTGGCCTGTGTGATCGGGGCGGAGCAGGGCGCACCAGTCATCGGCGGTTGTGGTTGAAGGCCACGAGTGCTGGAATTGCGTGCCATGTGCACGCGGTATGCAGCAAGACCCACAAGCGAGCTGGCCATGAGGTGGCACCCAGCTCTGGCACCACGCATAGCTGTGTGTGCCAGGCCTTAGTCCTGCTGTCGCTTGGTGTGGACCCATGGTTGGGGCAGCAATTGCGCACAAATAATGTGCGCGGCATTGCACGCCGAGTGCGGCAACAGACACGCTGTCCAAAAACGCCTCACAGCACATCTAGATAACAAGGCTCCCAACGTTCCCTTTTAGTTCCTACCGCGCTGATCAGATCGCAGCACACCCAGCGCACGCTCGTCCACCATGGACGCCATCAGGGGCATGCTGGACGAGCTGATGGGCAAGGAGCGGGACGCCCCGTTGCACGAGCGGGCGGTGAAGCAGATCGACTTCTCAGACCCGGATGTCTGCAAGTATGAGCTGGCCTCCGTCTGCCCCAATCAGCTGTTCAAGAACACGCGGAGTGACTTGGGTGCGTGTTGGGGTGGTTGCAGCCATCTGACGGGGTGGCGGTGGCAGCAAGCGGCGCTGTCAGGACTGGAGCACTGCAGCATTGACAGCCTTGCAACACAACAGCGCCCCAGCAGTGCGCACAACGGGAACCATAACAGTGCGAAGTTGCACGCGACCTTGCAGTCTCAGTCGAGCGCATAGCACTGCACCGTGCAATGCTCCAACACCGGCCGTTACCGCCCGGTGCCCTGGTCCCCCCTGCAGGCGCCTGCGGCTTCTCCATCCACGCGGACCACCTGGACTGGCCAGAGATCAAGGCCAAATGGGAGAAGCTGGACGAGCGGGAAAAGGAGAGGTGTGGCCGCCACCTCGCGCCTCTGCGCCGCTCGGCTGCTGCCAACGCAGCTGCCCCAGCCTGCGCTGCTGCTGCTGCGCCCAAACCCTCTCCTGGCCCCCCAACGAGGCGCCTTTCAACGCTCTGAAACCGATTCCAGGTACGGGTACGAGCGTGACCTGGTGCGCTACATGGAGCAGCTCATCAGGGAGATGGACCGCAAGATTGAGAAGAACAAGGAGCGCGCGGCGGCGGAGAGCCGCCCCAAGCCGGTGCGGGTGGAGGACCAGGGCAAGCTGGACGAGATCAAGGCGCGCATGGACGGTGCGGGGGCAAAAGCATTTACGATGTTGTGTGCTGGTCCTGCATGCAATGGTTTTGTGCGTGTGTGTGTGTGTGTGTGTGTGAGTGTGTGTGTGTTTGTGTGTGTGTGTGCGTGTGTGTGTGTGTGTGTGTGCGTTTGTGCATGTGTGCGCGCACACGCATGCATCTGCCCATGTGATTTTGTATGGGCGGGGGTTGTGGGTTCATTGATTGTTGCGTGGCGGTGTGCAGCTCCGAATGCAGCCGAGGGCTGAGCAATAGGGCTCTTGTTGGCTGAGATGGCACAACGTGGGGCCCAGCAGATGTCAACAGCATCCGTCTCCCTGGCACGTCTCATTCCTCTGCCATGCGTCATGCTTTCCGTCCTGAAGCCAACCTGGTAAACACACACAACACACAAATAAATGCACACACGCACATATGCACACACGCACATACAGTCTCTCTTACGCGCACACACACGCCTCATTTGCCCTCCGAACAGAGTGCCTGCAGCGGTCCATGGAGCTCGGGGAGGCCGGCGACGTCGACGCCAGCATGGCGACGGCGCAGCAGGCAGAGGTGTACAAGCGGCAGCACGAGGTGCTGTTCAAGCAGCTGACGGCGCCAGACAGGAGCATGACGGTCTGCGACATCTGCGGCGTGTTCATCAACAGCACCGACAACGACCAGCGGCGGCTGGTGCGTGGCGCGCGGACGGGGGGCGCGGGGCGGCGGTTTTGTCTGTGGAAGCGTGGCGGCGGGCCCAGTCGGGTCGGGGCGCCGTGATGGGCTTTGGTTGCGGCGTCGGGTGGGACGTGCTGACCTGGCGTGGTGCCGGCGAGTGGCTGCGGAGCGCTGGTGAGCCCTACGGGCTTTCCCTTGCGCAAGGCCAGCCGCCCTTGGTTTGACGCCGCGCGCACCGCATCCTGCCTGTCTTTGCATGTGGCGGTGTGGAACCCTCGCCCTCTTGGCTCAGACGCCAGGGGAGCTGCGTGCTAGAGAGGTGCGGCCGGCGGGCAAGATAGACGGCAACGCGGCGCCCGCAGGGGCGTTGCGGAGCACCGCCCTGCTGTTGTCGCCTCCGCCTCCCCTGCCCTGCTGCATTCTGGCTCGTTCCCGCCAACGACCTGCACCCTCCCATGCCTGGCTCCTGCTGCAGCGTCTCCGCCGTTTGTCCCCTCCTCCCCCCCCCCCCCAATCACCACCTGCCGCTGTTGTCACCGGGCACAATTCCCCTGTTGCCCTTCATTCTGCTGCTGTCACCTATTTCACAGGATCACCTAACAGGAAAGCAGTACCTGGGTTGGAAGCGGATTCGGGAAGTGCACGCCGAGCTGGTGGCCAAGCGCGGCGCAGGCGGCGGCATCGGCGGCGGCGGCCCCGGCATCGG